AATTCATGTTCTCACCCTCCATATTCAGGTTGAGGAAAGCCACTTTTGTGGGCTTCCCCAGGGATTATTTCTTACATTTTCAGCTTGTTTTGATGCTCAGACTGAGGAGATCATCTCTAGTGGCACAGAGTTTGCTGAATGTTTTGCATTTTAGACTCTAGACAGATAAGCCACCAAACACGTTCTTGCACTACAGATTCAACACCACGAGTGTGTTCCTCAGGTTGCTGGCACTGATGTTTGTATGCAGGGAATTACAAAACTTACATCCCAGGAGGAAAGAGTGGGAGCTCCCCTGTGGGAGTGTGATCTGCAAGTCTGGGATAAGGCAGTTTTAGGAGTGAGATGCTGCTGAGGGAGAGGAGCTGGGACACCAACAAACACACAGAGCAAAGCAGATCCTTTTACACTGCCACAACCACACCAATCCTACAAACTTCAACAACAATAAATTATAGAGTTTCTACTACCTGGGGGAAATTATAAGTGCAACTACTGTACAGTCAAGGATTTTATTGCCTAATATTTTAACAGGGTATCCTGGAGAGCACATATTAAATGCAGCCTCTCCCTTGGAGAAATATTAATAAATTGCATTGCAAACCATGGAAGAGGTTTGACCAAGGAGGAACAATATGAAATATCCAGCTAAAAATACCCCTTTATTGCAAAACTTGTTTATTTGCTATACCTCTTTGCTGCTCTCACTGCTTTTTTTTCTTTACTTGCAGTTTCTAGGATGGAGAAAATAGCATATCCAGCTGGGGCAAAACTTTATAAACATCAAAAGAATTTATAGCAACAGAACACAACCACAAAGAGCAACTTGCATTCATACAGTAGCCTGGTTTTGAGAATTTCTCTAGTTCTGATAAAATATTTAACTCACAGCTGCCCTAAGAGAGATAGAGCAACTCAAGTACTACAACATATGAGACGAGCAACACTTAGTAATACAGCATAAATTCATAACAAGAAAATAACATGGCAATTGTATATATAATATTCTTTCTATACAAACTCTCACACAGCCACACTTAAGCAATATTTGGTTCCTAGCTAATGTTCCCCCCAAACTGTAAATACTACCCAAAAATTGCTCATGTCTGTAGTTCTTCAGGGAGAGAAGGCAGGATGATGGACAGAGAGTGCTGAGGTGTGTTAAACAAATGAGCAGAATAAGAAAGTCTGCAAGGCTGCTACCAATGGAACCAGCTACATCCCCTATCAATAATCTGTACTGTGTGGGAGGGAGAAGTATGCTAGTCATAATTTACATTTTAGCAAGTTTTCCTGACTCAAACATTAAAAAGAATTAAGGCACTGGACAAGAAAAGTACTGCTTTGAAAGAATATCCAGTGGCTACACTTGCTGGTGACACCTCCCTCCTTTCAATTACTGAACTAAGACTTCAGACTGCTGCAGCTTAATAGGATTTTTCATTTCTTCTTCAGGAAAATATTAGGAACCAACACTTAATTCTGTAACAGTGGAGAAAAGCTAATACTGAGACAAATACAGAAATTGGGAAAGAAGCATGCCTTCCAAAGGTCAAACTTTAAAGTGTCTGCCTGACCTGAGAGGGCTTAAAGATTCACATGCACAGCATTGGATTGCCACCACTGCATGAACAATCCCACCTACAACAGAAAACAATGCAACAGCAAAATCTTTGCAATTTAGCCACAGACAACATGACTATGACTACAAAAATATAGCCTGGAATGTGGGTATTTCACCAAGGACTTCTTGGTTCTGCACAAAAAAAAAAGTATTAAGTTTTGCACAAAAGCTGTACACTGAGTCCTCATATACAGCAGCACTGCAAACAGGACCTGAGACAAAATCCTGTCCACTTAGAAAAGCTATTCATCCTTTTGCTTTAGCATACCTTAGAGATATGGCCCATGACAAGAAAGATTTATTTGTTTTTTTAAGACCAGTGGAAGAGCCCTGTCACCCCCCCTGCTGATCCACACAGGCTGCTCACAGAGAGCTTCTGCAAAGAAGCTTCAGCACTTTCCTTCAGCACAGCTGAACCAGGCTCAGCTGAAAGGCACCAAAAAGCAGAACTGGCTCTGAGCTCCAAAATTCACACCAGACCCCACCAGTAAGGGCAAATCTTTGCTCCACGACTTTCCCCCTCCTTTTACCAAGTCCTCCTTGGCAGTAAGTTCCTCACCCAGGGTGTGCAACCTACATTAACAATTCCTCAGGCAGAAAAGTGATTTACGTGCACAGGGATGAATTAACACCTTTCCCACATCAACACTGGCACTGAAACATTCCTGGCCACGCTGCCTTTGTAGGCTCAGTGAGAGCCATGAGTAGGGTGAGCTATTACATAAGGAATCAATAATGTTTCTCTGCCGTGGGGGTTCTTTGATCAGCACTTGAAGGATGAATGTTTAGTAACAGAACAATTTCAAGCTGACAGAGGGTGCAATCTGGGAAGGCAGCTTCTGTCTTATGGGGCCTCTTGAAATTTGCTGCTGGAAATGTCCTGGAGCTCATGGAATCAGCAGGAACAGCCCTAAGCCTTGCAGAGCCAACACAGCCTCTCCCCTCCCAGCCTGCCTGCCTACAGCTGAGGTGTAACAGCCTCATCAGTAAAACCAGGAGCATCTGACCCCAGGCTGACCTGAAGCATGGTGATGGGAACACATTTCCAGAGATGAGAGAGGGGTTCAAATTCCCTCAGGTCTTGGACCTACATCTCCCACATCTGCCCTCTCTTTGTGTCCATATCACCAACATCCTCTTCTCTCTCTCTTTGTTTTCTGAAACAAAAACCTTTTCTTTTGGGCTGAAATGAGGGGAAAAAAAGACCTAAAAACCTTCAGAGGTGCTCTCTGCCGTATCACTGGAAGGCATTGTACTTGTATTCACTAGCTGTAAATGCTCTGCAGATTCATCCTCTTTAATTTCTCTGTCTTTTAAGTGCACAGTATCCACCAGGTTCAAAAGAACAGACATTTCTGGAGCATGACTGAGAACAAAACCTGGTGTGAGGAAGAGTGTTTTGAGCCATCTATCAACAAGACATTTTGTGTCTCTGCTCCCCGTAAAACTCTCTCAAGTTTGACACCCCCAGGTCCATTAATCCACCAGCAGCATGACCCAAAACTGATTTATGGCCCTTCACATGGGTCAGACCACAACCTGGGTCTCCATAAAAGGGATCAGGCTCTGGAAAATGACTTCTCACTTGCAGCATGGCCAGCAAGGGCTGAGTATTGGGGAACAGCCCAGAGAATGAAATACTCGCTGGGATAGTTAAATCTCACAGCACTTTTCTCCATCTAAGCCATGAACTCGGCCTCTGTGACTGTTATTGGTGCCTCCAAAGCTGAAATGTTTGCTCTCTGCTTGCCCCTCTATTTCTGTCAACAGTGCCCATCCCTCCATATGAGGAGCAGTTCTTCCAAGAGTTGGGAACAGCATCACCACTCAATGCCCCTTTCTCAGGTATCACTGCTGTGTGATACACGGCCAGAATAACAAAAAGTAAAAGGAAAACATCCTAAGGAACGTTCTTTTCTTTTGTGAGTAGTCCCTTGCAGTGGGGCACACCACAAATAGTGTTATTCAAACATCTGGCCTGATTTCTTATGGCAAACATAAGCACATCAACAAGCTTTTTTTGATCTGTACTCCATCAGGGCACATTCTGCCCAGTCCACTGGAAAACATCTCTCTTTCCTCTTGCATCTTGTGGAAGTTGGACTCAGCACAGGCAGCTGGGGGGAGACCTTGGGGATTCATCTCCTGGTAAAGCATCTCATTCAGATCCCTCAATGCTCCAGGCTACTCCTCACCTCTAACATTTTGAAAGCTCTTGTAATTTCCCCAGCTGTTTGGACTGGCAGCACTTTGACAACAAATGGGCTTGAGCATAAGTGCACTGCAAGAACCTCAGTTTATAAACCAATAGCTTGGAGCAGATGGACTCCACCAAAAGCTGAAGACTGAGACTGTCCTGTCCCTTCTCTGCATTCAGCACTCACAGTAAAACTCTAAACCTATTAGAATTTGCCAGAAAAAACCAAAGTAACAGGCATCTCCATCTCTGAATTGTACTTCCTAAGCCAAAAGTAATATTTTA